TAATGGATTTATAAAGAGTTTTAAAATCCATAAACCAATAATAACGAACTTTCAAAAATTTTAAAGTTGATGAGAATTTATCTACTAATAACCCTTCCCTCTTAATTAGTTTATGTAGCCTTTGTGGGAAATAAAGGGTTCGAAATTCTTGGGTTGTTTTTTTTGTTTCTTCTGCTCAATTTTGTTGGTTGGTTAAGCTTTACAGTCATCTTGGGTACGTTTATAGTTGTTGTTATTCAGCAATGGTAAAAAATTGTTCATTTTTATAAATATGGTGAACAACTTCCTTATATGTAATGCATTTTTTTAACTATTTTTATAAAATGTTTTACGAATTTTTTTATCAACGTGATTTATTTTCGTTTATTGGTTGTAATATTTATACTTTTATATTCCAAAAAGTTTACTTGGGAAAGTGTCAATACTATTGCGTTGCGCTAGGAGGTTTTTCATCCGAAACAATATCTCCACGTTTCCTTATAATTTGAGTTATCGTCAATGTAAATGATATTGTAAAATGTTTGAATGACACTCATTATTTCCATTCCAAAGATTCAACATTTGTAGTGAGAATAATGGATGTTAAATTATTTGATATCTTAAATGGAAGTAAAATTATTTGGTATCTTAAATGGAAAAATTTTATATGAACATCCACTAAATTTTCCGTTTTATCCTAAAAATATATAACAACGTTAAGTATTAATTACTGTTGAGGAAATGTGGTTTATATTTGAATATCTTTCTCATAAATACCATAAGTTTTTTTTTGAAAAAAAAAGCATAAATACCTTCTTTTCTTTTTTGAACACCAAATATATTAAGAGACCTCAACCCAATAAACTATGGGAGGGAAGATGTGGCAATACAAAGTGCAGATTTAGCAAGCTTATCTGCTGCAGAATTGAAACGACATGCTACAAACTTAAAAGATACTGAAACAAAGGATGATGATAGAAGGCCGATGTCCTGAATGATCCCGTAGAGACCCGCCGGAGGAGCAGTCGAGGTGAGCGCTGTAAGGAGCGCCTGACAGTCTGTGTTGAGACAGACTTTATTGATGTCCAAGGAGAGTGCTGTGAGTAAGGCCCATCGCAGCGCCATAGCTCCTGCAACCAGCGGTGAAGGGACACTCTTATCCACTCTCGTCAATTGGGAGATTACAGCTCCCTGTTTATCCGTGAAAATGCACCCAAAGGAAGCCAACTTGGTTTCCTTTTTATATGCTGCATCTGAGTAACAAACAATTAGATCCTCCAGGTCGGGCATGGTCAATTGATTGCTTACACTTTGTGATTGAGCTCTTGTTATTGGTTGAGCAAGGTTCCATTCTCTTGCACTCCAAATAGCCTTTGAGACAGTGATGTCCGGAGCAATGAAACGTTTCTCGAAGATCAACTGGTTTCTTGCAAGACAAATAAACCAGCATATCCAAGGGAAAAGATCAGAGATAACCCCCACTGGAGGGAGCCCAGTCGCTACTTTACCAAACTTCAAAGCCTCCAGAAATTCAGTGAAAGCTGCAGGATCAAGTTGCTCTCTAAAAAGAGATGAAGACCAAACTTTCCGTGCATATTCACAGTGTAGGAAGATGTGAGCCTCTGTTTCTACTTCCCCACAGCGAAGACAGTTAGTATGTTGCAGGAGACCTCTCTGTTAAAGGTTAGAGCCCGTAGGGAGTGCTCCTTGGGTTACTTTCCATAAGAAAAGCTTAATTTTAGGCGATGTCTTCCCTGCCCAAATAAGCTTCTTCCAATCCGGAGTTTGTGCCAGGTTAAGAGTTTTTTGTTCCTGTTCCATTGCCGCAAAGTATCCTGACCGTGTTGTATAGCATCCTGTCTGTGACCCCAGCCAAGCAACTCCATCTAGACCTCCAGTCAGGCTTGGTTTCAGAAGCATTATGTCATCGACTAGTAGTGGTAAAACTTTCGCGATCGCATTGCGATTCCATTCTCTAGTTTCTTTGGTTAAGAAGTCCGCCACTACTAGGTCTTGATACTGCTCTTGTACTGGTCCGTAAGGTGTTACAGGAACATCAGTGCTCAACCACTTGTCTTTCCAGACTTTGATTGAGTCCCCATTCCCTATCACTGAGCCCAGTTTCAGATTGAGCAGATCTCTTCCGGCTAATATACCTCTCCAACCGTGAGAGCACTCTTTGGGAGACTCCACAGATAGGAACGGTGCGTGTTTGCAGTATTTCCCCAGTAGAACACGAGCTAGTAGTCCCTCCGGTTTGGTGATGATGCGCCAGGCCTGTTTTGCCAACAAGGCAGTATTGAACATCTGAATATCCCGCACTCCCAATCCTCCCAAATTCTTCCGGTTAGTAATGTGTTCCCACAATACCCAGCACATTTTCTTGCCCGCCCCACCTTCTTTCTCGATCCTAAGGTAAGAAAGAACACCATAAACCATGACCACCAAAAGCTGCCTTGATCATTTTAGACCACACTATTTAGTTTACCCCATTTTGGATGATTGATACAGTCACTTGTCTTTTTTTTCCATGGTTAGCTCTAGAAAAATAGAGAATAAAATAGATTGGATGCGGAAGAGACGAAGAGAATATGAACTTATTGCTTTAATACCATATAAGAATATGAGATAAACTTGACGAGAATTAAACACAATAGAGAATATGGAGAAGAGAGAAATTCAATTCTCTTAACCTTTACAGTTGTGGATATAAGAGATTATAAGTAGGTTTAACTTTTTGGGGAAGCTAAACGAATTTAACTTACTAAAAAACTAAAGTAAATGTAAACATCTAATTTTACCGTTCACCTATGTTCACAATTTACTTTTTCACTTAAACACATAAGAATATTCAAAGGACAGTAAAGAGAATAAGAAATAGGGACCAGAGGCGAACAACATTCAAAGAACTAATAGATCCACTAGAGGCATGAACATAAATTGAGCTGATACTCTGCCCCAAAGCACAACTGATCAACCGAGTGCTGGACTAAAAAGAGTAAAGCAAAAAAATGTAATTATGTCTATTTTTTCTAGAATGCTTGTGATTTTAACAAAAAAAAAACTTTATAGTGAGGAAATGGGTTACATAAAGGGATTTTAATTCAGAGTTTTATTGGTAACTAGAGTAAAGGAAGAATAAATTGAAAGAATTGTGTTGGCTGTTGTTTGAAATTGGTATGTGGTATCAAATTATGAGTATAATACCCGTAGAATTTGGTTGGTGTGGAAACCCGTGGTGCGAGTTACTCCATTCCTTAAAGTTGTCGTCGGTTGATCATGATTTCAGCGATGCTAGAAGAAAGGGGAGATGAGTTATTTTACTCCATCAACTACGCATATATGCAATAGAAGAAATGAAATAACTATTGATGGATCCTAGGAACGGTTTACTCTTCTGGGTCAGATGAGATATAAACTCCGGAATGAGAACGGATGGATTGAAGGGTCGCACGAAGGTTGCAGAAGGTCTCCAATATTCCCGACTCCAAGTAGTGCTTGATATGGCTCACAAGTCCACCAAATGGAGGATCTCTTGTCGTTGCTTGATATGACTCTCAAGTCCAACGATTTGAGGAAGTGTTTACTTGGATATGATTATCCTTCAGCCCTTTTTCTATGTGTTGGTGTTCTATATGACCGACATAAGACTCGACTTGTTAGATATTACGGAGGTTTTTTTAACCACTTTACTTTTTCATGTATTTGTATTTCCTCGTCGAGACAAAGCCTCCTTCTTCTATTGCCTTGGCTGATCCACCAAGAAACAAGACAAGTTCTTACAAGGAACAAAGAGTTTCATTTAAAAAACTTAAGACAAAATCGATTTATTAAAAATGAGAAAGAATTTAAATATTTATAGTACTTGTGAAATGGAAAGAGACAAAGAAAGACTCTTAGAAAATCGAAATTTGACTAGAAGTTTGAAAGACTTAGAATAAAACTCTTCAGATTCAGATCTGGCCAAGGAAAACCCTTCAGCTATTTGGACTGGTCAAGATGACCCCTCGCCTACTTGGACTGGTCGAAATGACCCTTCGGTTCCGGTTGGTTCCGTAAGGAGAAGAATGCATACGGGTCTTTGGGATAGTCCGCGGAAAGAGTTACACGACCCAACATGTCACCAACAAGTTCTACGTCTTTGGACAGCTGAAGAATCCTTGCCTTAGAGAAATTTTGATGATCAAAATGCATGAACTGATCAAAGTGTCCAAACAGTTCATCAGTACGGTCGCCGGTACATGCGATACGGACCAAATGAGCCAAAAGAGAGTAACCAAGTCTGAATCAGAATCCTCTTGAGCAAAGTCGATCCTAGTTCGAGCATCAGTCTTAACTTGGTGAATTGGGCAGGAAACAAGTCCTTTAGAACGGTTAGTTCGGTTGTCAGGACGTGGTTTTTTCCTTAGCTCCATTCTGGACGTACGCGGATTGAAACTATACACGGCACGGTCTGAATAGAGAAACTCAATTGCATCCACAGAGACACGTCCACGAGTTTCATCCGGAGGGATGGCATCCACGAGTTTCATCCATTGGGATGGCATCCACAGAGATAGATCCACGGGGTTGCATCCACTCACTAAGTCCTTCCTTTTCCAAGTTAGCTTCTGGTATTGGTTCCATGTACTGATCCATGGACTGTGGCACATCAACTATACTAAAGAAAAAAAAATAACAAGGGGAAAAGAGGAGAAATTGGAGAATCGATTCTTGTTGAGTTACTCAAGTCTCTTTACGAGTGACTTCTCCACATTATCAATCGTCTAGTAGTTTAATTGTTTAAAATTTAAATATAAGTAAATATTGAAACAAAATATAGTTTTGAGAGATTCAACAACTTTATATATTTTGTTAATGCTCTTAAAGACTAGTCAACATGAGCAATAACTCTAATGTGACTATACTCTTTCTTTTACATGAAATGGTCAAATGTACTGATGTAGAAAAACAAATTACCCATTTGGATACACCATATCTAGATATTCCATTTTAAAAGATTGTTTAAAAACAAGTATAAAATGGCTGCTCTATCATCAAGACATCAACAAGTAAGTATTATAAACCAAATGCTTTTGATTTCTAATTTGATTAATAAAAAAGATTCTAAGAGGATGAGGACTGCTTTTATGCTCATGGTTCTTGTTTTCGCAATGACATGGCCATATTCGAGTACTCAACCGACAGACCCTCAAGAGTGCTATAAGCTGGTTAAGGGTACCTCAAGTGAATGTCGTGATCGTCTAAAGGGAATTTTGCATTTTCAATTCCATGGGATCAAGAAATATTGCTGTGAAACCATTGCTAAAGTTTCTGATTCATGTTGGCCAGTGATCTTCCCGAACCAACCTTACGTTCGTTTTATCTTGAAGGGTATTTGCGTTTGGACATAATCCTTACATAAAGGTGTTTTAGTATTTTATTTGTCTGAGATTCTTAGCATCTAGAATAAACGAATATCTACTTTGATAACTTATTAATAATCATATTCTGGCTCATTTTATCATTTAAATAATTCTAAAATTTAAATTCTAATTCGTGTTATGTGTAGTTCAAATATTTAAAATTAAAAGAATTTGTTACAAATATCATCTTTCAATTTAATTAAGTGTGTATAAGTTAAGTATTTTATTCATAAGTTAATGAATGAAAGTTAATTTTTTTTATTTTGAAGCATCGGATTTATACAGAGTTTAGACATCTTATTATTTAAAATTCGGTTCTTCAAAATTACTAATTAAGACGATCGTGACACATGTCAATTATACATTAAGATTGTGACATGTGTTAAATTATATCATAACTAAAAATATATATATTTAGATAATAACAAAAATGGATTTTATTAAAAATAATTAGGAATATTATTTAAGAGTAACTTTCCATATTTAAAATCTTAAGAAACAATATATTTGTTAAAAATATAAAAAGAATGTATATATATATATATATATATATATATATATATATATATATATATATTTAGATAGTAACAAATCAAAAATTAATAAAAATAATTACAAATATTTTTTAAAAGTAATTTTCCATATTTAAAATCTTAAGAAAAATATATTTGTTAAAAATATAATAAGATGTACTAATCTCATGATTACAAATATATATATATACTAAGATAAAAAACGAATTTTGAAGAAAAAAAATAATTTTAAAAATTGTTTAAGTGTAAATAAAAAGTAAAGTGTGTTTAACTATAGTTTTCCTTTTCACAGATCCTAAGCAAAAAAAAAATATTTGTAAACAAATTTATTTTTAATAACAACTTTCCTATTCTAAAATCTTAAATAATAGATAATTGTAAGAGATTATTTGATAGTTATTTTCCTTTTAAAATTTTGGCATGTGTTAAAATTTCTCATTTTAAACAAAAAAAAACGTTTTGCAAAATGATTTGCTTAATACAAACTTTCCTTTTCTTAAATCCTAGAGGAAATAATTGTAAAAAATATTTCATAGTAATTGTCTTTTTAAAAAAATCTTAAACATAACAAAATTGTAAGAGAATGTCTAATAGTAGTTTTCCTTTTACAAATCCTAAACAAAAAATAATAATTTTAGAATAACTATTTCAATTTTTATATGAGTAATCAACTTTCTATTTAAATAGTTAATTACTGATAAAAATCTTAAATTAAAAAGAACTACAATTATTCACATCAATATATAGGATTAGGTGATTTCTCTGCGTTATTGCCACTGTTATATTTGAGTGTTTAATTGTATAGATGTTATGTTGTTGTATGTAAGTTAATGTTCTTGTTTTATCTATGTATGTTTGTTATTATCCACAATATAAAATTTGTTACGTTGTTGTATGTAAAACAAATGTAAATTTATTATTTTCTTACTCATTACTCACTATTTAAAAATTCATATACACTATTTAAAAATTCATTAATCTAAATCTGTACTCATTACTCACTATTTAAAAATACCATATGTACTCATTACTCACTATTTAAAAACCATATGTACTCATTACTCACTATTTAAAAATTCATTAATCTAAATCTGTTAGTAGCCCAAATACATATACACAAAAAAATATTCTAACTGTATATGGAAAATTAAATTATATATTTATATGTTTAAATTATTTAGTATAAATATTTTATAAATTATATCTTCCTGAATATGGTGCAGGTCATTATCTAGTCTTGTAGTATTTGAGAAATGACAGGTACGAGACAACTAATTTCTCTATCCATTTGTTACCTCGCCCCACGATGGAAGAATCTTGAAATCAAGACACAAATATAATGATTATGTTATTATAGTGCTTAACTGTTCAATTCATTGCTTCGAATGGTAAAAACATATCAAGCGGTTCATACAGACCAAACAGGACAAGTGCAGATCAAATGGGACAAGTGCAGAACAAGCGGACCATGCAGGAGAGATGCAGATCAAACAATTTATCATAAATTATGAATGACAAAATTAGTTCAAAACTATAGATTATATATTAAAAGAATAAAATTATACCAAATATCAAATAAAATATTTTAAATGTTGTACAATCAGCCGAAATGTTTATTGCATTTTTCATAAGATGCTTGTACGTCTTCTATTTGCGTTTTAGTTGATCAAAATTATTTTTGAAGAACAAAAATGTTAATATTAAATTCTTTGTTGATATTTATATATAGAAATGGAGATCAAACAGATTAAATAATTTATTATAAATTATAAATGACAAAATATGTTCAAAACTATATATCTTATATTAAAATAATAAAAATTACACTAAATATCAAAAATAATATTTCAGATTTTATAGGTTCAGTCGAAATGTCTGTAAAACTTTTATTAGATGCGCGTACTTCTTCTTATTATTAATTATTTTAAAATATAAAAAAATATTAATTATTTTTTTGCTGACTTTTATGTAGAAAAAATTATATTTTTCGTGGAAAATATTGTGGTTTTTGGCGATTATACATCATGCTTATAATTTTAAACTGACACAAATAATATTAATGTGAACTATATAGTTTGAGTTAATAATTGTACATTATTTATAAAATCAAATAAATATATTTCAAAGTTAAGTGTTTTGTAATTTGCAATAAAACTATTTATTAGCTAAAGGAAAAAAAAAAGCAGATCAACACCACCAAATATAAGCGGATGACTGCTTTTTCTACTAAAAGACAAAAAAAATTGAACTGCATGCAGATCTCCCGCTTGAACTGTTTTTACAAACAAAAAATGGTTAAAGGTAAACATATTGCAGGAGAACTGCCTATTGCGGGAGAACTGCATGGTGTGCCCTTATCATGCCCCTCCCATTCATAACCATTGTCGAAAGTTTCAAAGGTAGGACTAGACATTTTATCTGTTAAATTTGATTTTATTCGTTATTCATTTAGATTTGATCCGAAAATTTCAAATATTCATAAATTTTTGAAGCAAAGCAAATATTAAAATTAAATATCCGTTAAAAGCGAATAAAACCACAAATACTAAACTTTTGGGAAGTGAATATTCGATCCGATCCGGCAATATATTAATACATGTATATCTTGATTATATTTAAAGTTTTAAATGTATAAAATTTATAATTATTATTCTAACATTTGATTTGACAAATTCTATTCACATTATTACCTATATAAAAGTATTACATAAGAGAAAGAGAAAATAATTATGACAGTTATTGAGTTTTTGAAGTTATTGTTAACTAAATTTAAAAAAATTTACAAAATACATAGATTCACTACTTCTTTTAATTTTTATCTTTTATATCTTACAAAAAAAAAATATTTTACAAAAAAAAAGTGTATTTAATATTATTTGTATTAATTCAAACAGATGAGATATTCATAAGTATTCGTAAATATCCGCAAATATCTATTTATTTTTTGGATATCCGTTTTTCCGAATATCCGTATTATACCGAAGGAAAGCAAATCAAAAATTAGATATATAAGACATACGAACCAAATCAAAAAATACTTTCAAAAACTCTGATATCCGATTCGTGCCCAGACCTATTTAGGGGTGCGCGTGTATGTGTGTGCACATTTTTAGGGTATAAACATTTTTTAATCTTCATGATCCAAATCTCCATGATGAAATAGTATGATGGATCCATATCTCTGGTGTAACGTGTGGAAAACATATTTTTAAAAAAGTTGTTCTTGGATTCACCTTCAAGAGTAAATTTAAAAATTCACCAACCAATATGATTATATTATTATATATTTAATATTTTAAAAACAAAATATTGTCAAATTATATTATATTTTAAAATAAAATATAAAAATAAATAAAAATAGTAATAGTTACAAAAATATAATTTTTCCTATTTATCCACAAGAACTATCATATATCATCAGATCCACCAGAACTGTCATATAGCATCAGATCTACACCAAATTATGACCTAATGCTAGATCCCCACGAATTGAAAATTGTAAACTTATTTCTCCCCGAATCAATATTTCAAAACTTAGTTACCCACATACGATGGTTTTAATTGGTTTATTCCTAATCAAACATCTTAAAATCAGTTAAACCAAACCGAAATTCATTTTTTGTATACTTTTTTATCAGTTTCCATTGGCGATGTATTTTTGTTTTCTAATGAAGAAAACAAAATCTTCTTCCATTGTAAAATAAACCTATTAAATTCCCACCTGAATCACCGTAAACATACTTATATAAACATTTTAATGTGTTTATTTCACGACAGAAGAAGATTATGGTTTGTTCATTAGAAAACAAAAATACATCACAAATGGAAACTAATAAAAAATTATAAAAAAATTGGATTTTAGTTTGGTTTACTTAATTTTAAGATGTTAGGTTAAGAATAAACAAATTAAAACCATCGTATGTGGGTAATTAAGATTTGAAGTATTGATTGAGAGAGAAATAGGGTTGCAATTTTCAATTCAAGGAGATCTAGCATGAGGTCATAGTTTTGTGGAGATATGATGCTATATGATAGTTCTCATAGATAAATAGATCGTCTACCCTTAATTTTGTTAACAAATTAGCAAAATAACTAAATCCTAAATTCTAAAGCCTAAACCCTTAGGTAAATTATAAACCCTCGGATAAATCTTAAACACTAAATCACAAACATTAAACATTAACTTTTAAAACACTAAACCCTTAATCCTAACCTGTAAACCTTAGATAAAAATCAATAAAATTTAAATAATTTTAATGTTATCAACAAAACATTAAGCTCTAAATACTAAACACTAAACACTAAACACTAAATCTCAAATGCTGAACTCTAAACCTTTAGATAAACGATAAATCCTACGATTTGCAATTTATTCAAGGGTTTAGGAATTAGAATTAGGTTAGTATTTTTAAGATTTAGTATTTAGTGTTTAAGGTTGATCTGGGGACTTAGGGT